TTTGGAAAGTATAAACCAAATGTGAATACGGCTCAACTGGTTAAGGATTTGATTATTTAAGGGGTGGAGGTTACGAGTTTGAGCCCTTTCCCTTTCATTCAACCAATAAATTAACTTTTTCAAACAAATTTCAAAAATAGTCCCTGTGGTTTACCATATATCACGAATTTAGTCCCTTCATTCAGCCAAAAAATTAACTTTTTCAAAAAAAATTCAAAAATAGTTCCTATGGTTTACCATATATCACGAATTTAGTCTCTTTATACCTAAAAAGACGAAAATGCCCTTACCCTAACGGCTGAATTCTAACGGAGTTAGTAAAAAGGGTCATCTGTGCAAGTTTTGCAAACCACAAGGACCATTTGCATCAAAAAAACTTAGCAGAGACTGACTTTGTGACTTTTAAAAAACCACAGGAACCATTTTTGTAATTTTGTTAAAAAAAAATTAAAGACTTTTGTTATCCATAAAATCTTTGAATTTATATAGAATTTTTTTATAAAAAAAATTAATGATATAAAAAAAATTAATGAATGATATGATTTTCTATTTTAGACTCGTCACTGAGACTTCATCAAATCCACAACATGTAAAAAGTTGTTGCTCAAAGATCAGTTTGCATTAATCACCGGGGCTGTTAATCTTCTAACTACAAGTGTAACGTAATTAGAAATTTGTTAACTTGTAACGAAACTGATTTCACTTATTAGTTCAAACAAAGGGGAAATGACCAAATGGCCTACGAAGTTTCTAGGGTTGGTCTATTTAGTCTCTAAACTATTTTTGTTGCTTTATGAGGAAACAAACTCATAGACAACCTGTTTTTTAGTCTCCTGGACTTGTTTTACCCAGTTTGGAGTGTCACATCCACACTATTTGCCACAACATCCATGACATGGCAACCAACTTACTTGACTATTCCAAAATCACAGAGAAACCAAAATAAATCATTTCTTATCCTGTTGCTTCGTCTTCTTACTCTTAACAACCTGTTTTGTCTTCTTCATCTTCACAGCCTGCTTCTTCTTCTCCTATCACCATCTTTGTTGATTCTGATTGTGATCCACTTAGGTTTCCTCATTTTACACATCTCTACTCTGGGATATGTGACTTGTCCGCCACATGTTTGATTCTTTGCCTCAGAGAGTTTGATCAACTCGTGGATTAAGCTTAAAGAAGGTTTCCGGTCCTCGACTTACAACCTAGATATTTGTTTTTTTCTCCCTACTTACTTTCGAGCTTGAAGCATACATTGAAGATGAAGATCTCAGTTTATTTTTGAGATAATTCCAAAGGTCTTCTTCCTTCTTAACTAATTAAGATTAAGCAGATGCCTCATGAAATTACATAAAATAATATACAAAACTTCAATATAAGTGAAGTAAATCCATAGGTTTTTAGAAAATCATGTTCATAACTAGCAGTCGGTATCAATAAATGAAAATTTTAAGTAGAGCATGTAACATATAATGCATACAGTACAACAAGTAAGGCACAAGGTACAACATCAAATGAAATCAACTATAATCGTTCATGGCGGTGAGTTGATAGTTCAGAATTGCAAACATAACTTCGATGTCGTAGCCGACAAGTGCACTCATCGTCGATTACTCGACATCAAACAACTTCACTTTAGTAATCTTTCTGTCTTTCAACGTATGAACTACCGTTTTCGGATCCATCTTATGTGTCGCCATTGTCCCCCATTTCACACTCAACCCTTCAATTTAAGCAAAGAATCGATCGAGATGACAATTTTGGTTAATGGATTGAAATAAAACTGTAGGGTTCAATACTTAAATCAAATGAAAGCTCTTTGGATTTTGGACACATGCGGTTGCATGTAAGTGAGTATGGGTTAATTAAGATTTCAACAAAGAAATTATCGATCAACGTGATAGTCAACATATACGGGGTGAGCTGGCAAAATTGTTACCGGTTTACCCCTTCAGATCTTCCAAAATGACCATTTGGACCCGACAAAAACAATTTTGTCCCTCTATAAAGCCACCAAAAAAATTGCGGGATTAAATTGACCAATCCTTAAAAAAGGCATTTGTGTCATTTCCCCTAAAACCAACAAAAATAATGAAATTGAGTAGGATTTTATGATTATACATTTATTATCCAAAAAAATATATTTAAAATACAATAGCAAATGAAAAAAGGAATATGACATTCCAATTCGACCAATACCATCAATAGCGTGTCCCGGAAGCAAGGAATATGCGACGCACTCTCGTTCATAATTTATTTACTTCGTCTCCAAGAATTTCTAGAACCACCGAATACTTGTTAAAAAAGCTCCCATTATTAACGCCTTCACTACAATCCGATCTCTTTGGTGCTTGAACAATGTCGGATAGTGTTGAAGTTGTTCACGATATTAAGTCGATCCTTACTTCTACCGGAACAAATTATCTTGTTCGCAACAACGGTGATCAGGTATCCAGTTTTCTTCCACCTTGTAGTTCAGTCCTTTATTCCTTTTATCAGTTATCTGGATCGCAACTGGTTTTTTTGCATTTATATTTCCGGGTTCATACGGGTCTAATTCCAGTTAACAATTTCTGGTATCAACTGGTTTCATACCCACTTTACAAACCGAAACTGATTCCCTGGTCCAGTTCTCGGGTCTTGTAATCCTTCAATTTTGGTTTTTGGGTTTTCCGGGTACGGCTCCGATCGAGCCATGTTCGGACCCACTTTCATCCCTATAGACTTTAAATGGATTGTGTTTATGGATCTGTATTGCTTGTTACAACTATTAACACGAAAATTGGGACTTTAGGTTATTGCTCCCTTACACCTCATTATACTTGGATTGAGATGTCCGTTTGAAGCAATTACACAAAACTATCTTGGATTTTTCAGGTTGCATTCGACACCTTGAATGGTAAAAAGCTGGGCTTATATTATTCTGCATCCTGGTGCGGCCCATGTCAAAGGTTTACCCCAAACCTAGTCGAAGTATACAACGAACTTCTTCCAAAAGTTGATTTAGAGATCATATTCATCTCATCTGATGAAGATCTTGAATCCTTCAATGGGTATTTCTCCAAAATGCCATGGCTTGCAGTTCCATTCTCTGATTTCAAAACACGAGCATGTCTAGATGGATCTCTTGAAGTCGACGGAATCCCTCATCTCGCGTTCTTTGATGAAAACGGGAAACTTTTGACTTATCGTGGGGTTGAAATCATTGGGGAATACGGGGCAGAAGTGTACCCCTTTACACCAGAACGGTTCAAGGAGATTGAAGATGAAGAAGAAGAAGCTAGAAAGAATCAATCTTTAAGGTCCATCCTTGCGTCTCCCTCACGTGACTATGTCATCTCAGCCAATGGCAAAAAGGTAAATATCACCGATCTTGAAGGGAAGACAGTCGGTTTGTACTTCATGCTGTCATCATTCGAGAGCTCAAATGATTTCACTCCTACGCTCATCAAAGTATACAACGAATTGAAATCCAAACAAGAAAACTTTGAAATTGTAATGATTCCACTAGATGACAATGAAGAATCTTTCGAGAAAGAGCTTGCTAATATCCCATGGTTTTCACTTCCATTGAAAGACAAAAAATGCGAAAAATTAGTTCGATACTTCGAACTCTCGACATTTCCCACTTTAGTCATTATCGGTCAAGACGGTCAAACCCTTCACCCAGATGTCGCTGATGCCATTGAAGAACACGGTATTAACGCCTACCCTTTCACAGCAGATAAATTCTCTGAGATCGAGAAAGCCAAACAGGAATCACAAACTCTGGAATCGGTTTTGGTTTCCGGAGACCTTGATTATGTGATCGGGAAAGATAACACGAAGGTGCAAGTATCTGATCTGGTGGGGAAGCATGTACTGTTGTATTTCTCAGCACACTGGTGTCCGCCATGCCGTGCCTTCACTCCAAAACTTGTGGAAACATATCATGAAATCAAGAAAAAACACGATAATTTTCAAGTTATTTTCATCTCGAGTGATGAAGACCAAGATTCTTTTGATGAATACTATGGTTCTATGCCATGGCTGGCGCTTCCGTTTGGGGACAAGAGGAAGCAATCATTGAGCCGTCTTTTTAAGGTTGACGGGATTCCACTGTTGGCGGCTTTAGGGCCCACCGGGAAGACGGTTACGACCGAGGCTCGGGGTCTTATTATGGCTCATGGTGCTGATGCGTTTCCTTTTACAGATGAACGGATGGCTGAGATTGAAGCTAAGTTTGCTGACATGGCAAAAGGGTGGCCGGATAAAGTGAAGAATGGGCTGCATGAAGAACATGAGCTTGTATTGACAAGGTCACAAGGGTATACGTGTGATGGGTGTGATGGAGAAGGGAAAGTTTGGGGGGATAATCGCGAAGAGTGTAATTTTGATCTTCATACTGAATATGTTTTTAAAGAAAGTGGTAATGGGAAGGAGGTTGTGGAAGAGAAGGGGAATCCGGAGGGGTGGATATGTGATGGAGATGTTTGTTATAAAGCTTCGTAAATAATAATTTGTGTTGAAGGTTTTGTGGGTATGTATGCTAATTGCTGCTATAGAGAAGTACACCATTCGTACCTCGTACATGTCTCCAAAAGCACGTTTAGTCCTTATTTTCAAAAATTAACTCGGACCGTCCCTTGACTCTGTTTTTTATACACGTTTAGTCCCTAATGACATAAAATGACTATTTTACCCTTAATAATTTCTTTTACAATTTTATTTTATTTACTTATCATTTTAATATTGAAAAAGAAAACGAAAAAAAATATCTACACCCCAACTTACCCTCCCCCTTCCCTTTCCCCAGCTTTGTCTCCCTCTTTCTCACCCACTCTTCCTCTCCGTTGATCGGACATCGACCATCAATAAAATCACTACAATCGAGCCATCAATTATCGTAACCCGTTATAGCCCCAACACCCTTCGCTCTCACATTCTTGCGTTAGTCTGCAGATCCTTCGAACAACACGGTTACGCTCCATGGGAGGTTTAAGATATTGATGTTTTCAGGAACAATGCTTCCACCGTCGGCGCCTGCCAATGCTGGTGGGTTGTGGGTATTTTTGGCAAGCGGAACAAGTGGTGGGTAGGATCCTGTTTGGTACATTAGTTGCTTCTAGTCCGATAGTTCTTGTGGCGGCTTTGGCGATCTTAGAACTGAAAAGATGAAGGTGAAGGTTTGAAACCCTAGGCGGCGTTGATCTGAAACGTGGAATGCACACCGGAGATCAAAGAGGGAGTATTCAGATTGTAGAAAAAAGAGGAAGGTTGTGGTCCGTCGATGGTGGAGGGTTGCGGTGGTGGTGGTTGTGGATTCTGGTGGTGGTGATAGTAGATTCCGACAACTCTGTTTCTTCTTACAAGCATCACCACCATTTTCCTTCAAGATTTTCCCAAATCAATTTTTCTTTTGTCGCATCCCAATCTGTCGCTATAATCGACGATGGTGGTGGTTGGTGAATATGTTACGATTACTGATAATTGCTTGGTGGTAATGGTCCGACAATTATCATCTTTTTTCCCTTTCATCGACTATGTATGTGTGTGTTTGTGTTTTTCTTCGCTCGGTAATAGTTAATGGAAGACAGGTTGGGGAAAGTGAAAGGGAGGGGGCATTTATTTTTTTAATTGAAAAGTATAATATAAACATTAAATTAATGGAAAAATAAAAACAAAAGGGTATTATGGTCATTTAAAATTTAGCAAGGACTCAGTACGCAATAAATTCGTCTTTGAGGGATGAAACGTGCAAGGTTAAATCAAACGAGGGACGGTCCGAGTTAATTTTTGAAAATAGAGACTGAACGTGCTTTTTGGCACCTGCACGAGGGACGATCGGTGTAATTTACCCTTTTTTATTAAATAAAGAAGCTTTTATGCATGCTTAGGAAAATATCTTAAGTGTGTAATCGACTAAATGTACATTTGTATGGTAAAGTATGAAAGCCTAATGTAAAATATAAGCTTTAATATTATTACTTGAAAATAAACTACATGATACTCGTCCAATTTAGGTTACTAGATCTACTCTAATAAATGAATGTTTTTTTTCCACTCATCACACTTTTATTCAATTTGTCAAATATAATTTTATGGTTACTTTGAATTAAATTTTTTTCCATATGTCATTTTATAAGTTTTTTCTATTTTATTAAATTCAACATAATATTTTAATGTAATAATTGCAATGGATATCAATTTTATGAACTTATCTTTTAATTTCAAAATTCTTAAAATTAAAGCTTATTAGTTTCTTTTGTATATTTATTTAAATTATTTGTTTAAATTTAAAAGATAAAAAAACATTTTCATTATAATAATTCATTATTTTTCTTATTTTCTTATAAATTTAAAGTTTTCAAATATTTAGACTTTTATATTTAATATTTTTTTTAAATTAACTCATTTAATACATAGGTCTCACAACTAGTAATTTTATTATTTAATGTTTTTGTTAAAAAAAAGTACCTCAAACTTATAATTTGTCCAAATATTTATATACGCAAAATGTATAAAAAGCTAATTGTAGACATAAACATGAAAAAAAAATGAATTAAATTTTGATGAGCTAATTTACTGATTGGACGCTAAATTAATATTTTAGTGAGCTTCTAACACTACCAAAACAAGGCTTTTTATGACATATTGTGTGTCATAAAAGGATACAAATGACACGTAAATCGGAAAATGTGTGTTATTAAAGACTTTGTCATAAAGGAAGACTACACGTGTTTGCATGTCATAAGTTTACAACGTATATTTACGATACGCATTGCGTGTCATTAAAACTCATGTCATAAATAAAGACGACACGCATCTTTACATGTCATAATTTTAAATGTTTTTTTTAATATTTATAGAGGTACTAATTTTTAAATGAGAATTAATATCTTATAATACAAATTAACATATAATACACAAAAAATGACAATCCATTTCACAATATATAGTATGTCAAATAGAAATAATCATTCTAATGCTAAATAAATGTAATACATGTATTGAAACATTTAAAAGGTAAAACTATAACTCAATTTTTTATGTTGTTTATGTCAATTGTGTGCTAGTTGTAGGCTTCATGCTTTGGAAACAATATTGCATGTACAATTAGAGAAAACATAGATCCAAAGCAATTAGGGTTGTATGTGCACCATATGATGTTGTAGTATACAAAACCCAATAGTGGTATCAGAGCCTATGATTGTTTTCTATTATATTTGATGCATGGCTTATTTTTCAAAGTTAACAAAAATCGATTTTCTGGCCTCTGACTGATGAACTTGCTGAGTCCACTGGTTGACTCGACGAGTCCACTCAGTAAAAGGCCAACTCGACGAGTCAGGTTCATGCACTTGACGAGTTGGTGCTTCTAGTTGTAGAATTTCGAGTTTTTGGCCATAATTGGTTAAGGATCATTACCACAAAATGTTTTATAATCATAAAAAATGTATTTTCTGATTTGGTAATGATGATCTTCATCCAATTAAAGGACAATTGTCAAATTTTAAGATAATATGATAATTATTTGTATTATTTGATATGAATTGCCTTGTCATATGAGTTAATTACATGATAATTTTGTTTAGTAAAATTGATCTTAAATGGTTTTTAAAGTCCTCCATTACTTGTCCTCAAGTTATGGAACATGAAAAGTTTTTCATAAAAACCACATTAACTCATAAGTTATGGAAAACCAAAAGGTTTTAAAGAGTTACAAAACTTGTCCTCAAGTTTTGGTATTTGAAAAGTCTCAAATTATGAAAAATTAACTCTTGTAATTGAAAGGTTTCAAAAGATACAACTCTTAGGTTCATAACTTAAAAATAAATTAAATAGTTTTAATTTTGAATTTTTAATAACCTAGTTGCTTTGAATAATTCAATTTGGACTTTATTAAATTAATTAAAGTGTTTAATTAAAAGAGAAGTTTAATAAATCCATAATAACATGGTTTAAGATTAATTAAATTAAGAGTATAGTTTAATTAAAAGATTAAACCACCAAGTATTTTAAATGTTTAAAATACACCCTTATACTATATAAAATTAAAAGTTTAATATATATATATATATATATATATATATATATATATATATATATATGTATGTATGTATGTATGTATAAGACAAGTCAATCTTACTTTTAATAGGCCTCATTCACAAAGCCGGTCTATAAGGGGTATAAGGTTACTGCCTATAAAATGGCAATTTAATGGGTGTCCACTCTCGCCCACCGCTTCCTTGACTGGTGGAGGGTCGTTAGCCGAACGGGTAGAATAGAACATTAATTCTCATTAAAAGTATAATGAAAATACAAAGTAACTAAACACTTATAAATTCCCAGTCTTAGTTACTTAGGAAAAATGTGAATTTGGTGCTATTCCATGAAATTGCACTTTGCACCTTGCCAAGTCGTTAGTGGAGCATGTGTGGTTAACCGGCACACTAACTTGGACTAACAAGGGTGGCAAAGGGTAGCTCGATGTTTGTCATAGATCAATGGAGCGTGTGTGGTTAACCGGCACATTGATTAGGTGATAAATGACATCGAGAGTACCAAGCTAATTTGCATGGTTATTCACACCTTGTTTGTGATCCTCGACAGCCCAGTCACAAACTTGAAGGGCATAATTAAGATTAAACATGACATTGAAAAGTTCAATGAATCTCAAAAGAATCTAGGAATTTCAATTCATTTAAAACTTAATAATCAATTTCGTTATTGATCTAACATATGTGCTTGTTGCTGCTGAATCAGCAATGATTTGACGCACCGGTAATGCAAATTTCATTGGAAGATCTATTTCCCAAACTTCCATGGACGTTGACAATGGTAACATTCGAAGTCCAGAAAAACTTTCTCTTCCCAAAGGAAAGGGATCGGCCATAGTCAAGTCATTCGACCAAATGGTAAAAAGAATGGCTAAGTCTGAGATAGTTCCATGTACCATTCCCAAAGAATCTATATGTTTCTATTGCCCAGAGAATGGGCATAGGTTGCGAAGCTGCCGTATCTACCTGAAGGACCACAAGGATGGTAAAGTCAGAGTGTATGACTCTGCTTCAGGTAAGTCCATTATCTAACTCTATGGAGTTCATATTTGGAGATTCTTAATACATGATGTAATGTAATTATATTTTGATGTTTTGTAGGATCGAAGAAAAGAAAAGAAGCTTAAAGGAAGAGTAAGCTGATTTTGATCGCGAAGAGATGGATTTCGATGATCAGAATTTTGAGTTGCTGCTTAAGAGTTATGATAGATTGCTTAGGAATAAATAACAACATAAATTTCATATGTATTTTCATTGTAAGGAAAAGTTTTCCGCAATTTTAATAAATAAATTTTGATTTTATTTTATTTTAAGTTTCCTTACAATGGCATTGGTGAAAATTGTTGTTTATATGTTTCCATTGATAGCAATATTGGAAAATGGATTTGATTCTTTCGTTTGTGGTAGTGTCAAGATTTACCAAATAAGGAAAGATTCTCATCACCCAAGATTCAGCTGGATAGAAACTTGGAATCATGCAACTTGTATTGTGTGATGAATGAGAACTTCATCTTTGGGAAATTAAGACTAATTCCTTGTTCACATGTATATGTGAGTCAAGTGAAGGACTAGGGGATCGGGTACACTTGGTTGTGCGTTGATCAAATCCACCACAAAGAACGATAAGACTATTTTTTATGATTTACTAAAGTTTAGTAAATATGGTTATACTTACAAGATTAAGTGTAATTTTGAATCATTGGAAAAGTTTCAATGTATGGCAGAACGAATAAGAAGAATCAAATTAGGCAGAAAGATAAAAGTTTCTCCAATCTGAGAAGAAGGGAGAGTACTTGAGTATCGTGTTTTATGATTATCTTAGTGATTATGAAGCCAGATCACAATTGATCCTCTAAGGACATCTTAGTGCATTTGTATGGCTAAGAAGAGGAATCGTGAATTGTTGAAATGGTTAAATCAAGAAGATAAATCATACTTTGGTCCAAAATCAGGTCTTAGAGTCATACTCCAAGATTGTAACTTAAGTGACATGGTCTTAATAAAGGTTTATAACACTCATCAAATGTAGAGTAAAATGTTTTCTACTCTTGTACATTTGAAATTGGTAAGTTGTGGTGCTTTGGATAAGACAAAGAACAACTAAGACCAATTGTGTGAAGTGTTTGTCTTGATAAGAAACCGCACTAAGTCTTGAATATTTGTTGTCAAGTAATGTTTCTTGACAAAGAGAATCTTATATGTCAAGAAGTCAGTGGGAGTCTTAAAGATCTTGAAAAGTTTCAAGAACTAATCAAGAATGAAACTATTGTTAATCACTAGCACACGACTTGAGGTTTGTAACCTATCGTGTTGACATATTCTTGTTTCTATGCCCGTTTCGGTTAAAGTTAACTATGCATGTGAGTTCTATGAGTGCTCAATTGTTTTCATAACAACTTGGAAGCAATG